GTTACTTGCTATCTACTTAGCCGTTAAACACTTTAACTTTTTACTACAAGGACGAACTTTTACCATCATGACCGATCACAAACCTTTATGTTACTCGTTCCACACATCGTATGACCGACATTCACCTCGCGAAGCACGACAACTGGATTACATCTCCCAGTTTACGACAGATATCCAATTTGTCAAAGGACACACCAACGTCGTAGCTGACGCATTGTCACGTAAAGGCGTAAATACCCTGTTACGTAAACAAGACATCGATCTAGAAACCATCGCAAAACTACAAGTAGACGATGCAGATTTGAAAGTCTGCCAGGAGAAGTCTAACTTGAACCTTAAACCAGTACCCATCCCCTTCTCAAATACATCTATCATTTGCGATGTTTCAACGGGTAACAATCGCCCTTTCGTACCTCTAGCATGTCGTCGACAGGTATTTCGTCAACTGCATGACCTTTCTCACCCAGGAATCAGAGCCACAATCAAATTGGTTACTGAGCGTTTTGTGTGGCCAAAAATCAATTCAGATATAAAACGATGGACGCGAAGCTGCCTACAATGTCAACGCAGCAAGATTCAGAAACACACGATCAGTCCAGTTGGCAAGTATCCCCTGCCGGAAAAACGTTTTCAGCATATCCACTTAGACATAGTTGGTCCATTGCCACCATCTAATTCATTCACTCATATTCTCACTGCGGTGGACAGGTTCACAAGATGGGCGATAGCATGCCCTATTGCTGATACTTCTGCAGAAACAGTAGCCAGCGTATTCCTTGACCGTTGGATAGCAAATTACGGAGTACCTTCTATCGTCACTACCGACCGTGGTCCCCAGTTTCAGTCTATCTTATTTCAGGAATTCACAAGACTTCTGGGCGTGAACCACATCAAAACAACAGCCTACCACTCAGCGGCTAACGGCTTGGTCGAAAGATTTCACCTCCAATTGAAAAGCTCGCTGATGGCACAAGATGATACGACAAAATGGAGTGACGCATTACCACTTGTACTCCTGGGTGTCCGTTCAACTATAAAGGAAGATATAGGTTGTACAGCCGCTGAGCTAGTTTACGGTACAACCCTTACATTACCAGGTCAACTAGTGGACCCAAACACTTTAACACCAACGGACCCAAGTCGTTTTGCTAGCCAACTGCTGCAAACCATGCAACGAATCAAAGCCATACTGCCTTGTGAACATAACAATCGAATACAACTCAACAGAAATCTAGAAACATGCAAGTTTGTCTTTGTTCGAGTTGATGCTGTTAAAAAGCCATTGAAACAACCTTATGAAGGATCATATCAAGTAATTAAACGAACGACCAAACACTTCATAATCAACAAGTGTGGAAAGAAAGAGACTATCGCTATCGATAGAATAAAGCCTGCTTTCTACGAAGCACAACTTGACAGAGAACATACTATTTCACTGAACCAACCCCGTCCAGCAACCACCACTACAGCAGACATGGAAGAAAAACTGAGTATCAAACCTACTTGTTTAACGCGCTCAGGCAGAGCCGTAAAAAAACCCAAACGCTGTGTACATTTCGTCGAATAAATAAAAAGTCTAAACAAACAATTACTGATGTACTATACCATTATACTCACCCGATTTTTTCCCAAAAAAATCTATGATTTTTTTTTACAGTGTACATAATTAACCATATTTTTTTCCCCCACAATTATTCGTTTTGTCACATTTTTTTTATAGAAAAAAATTCGTTACAATAATAAACGAGTAAACTCTATTTAATTATTCATTTGTTGTACACACACAAAAAAAATAAGCAGTTCATTTTTTTTGGGTTCAGTAACAGTTCTGTACATTAGTGTCATTGTTAGCAAACCAAGCTTTGAAATGACGGTATTCTCATTACTTTTGTTTGTCATGCTATGCCACATCACCGCTATTTTTACGCCATAACACACTGCATATTATTAACGTACATGTCATACGCATCTCCACATTGTTAATTGGTTATTATTGTAAATATTATTATTTTTTTTTTGTATAAAATTTTTATTATTGTTATTGTAACCAGTGTTACCTCCGGACACTCTGGGGGGAGCTATGTGGAGATAGACCTGACAACCTTATTTTGTAAATAGTTTTCAATGTTATTTCTATTTGTTTTGCCAATTTTTCACTGTATGTACATTTATCATTAAATGACTGTACGTGTTGTTTTAGTCAACGACCTTGAACACTTTTTCCGTTGTAATTCGAATATAGCGTGACACACATTTTCGGTTGTTCACAAATACACTACTACGCACATACCCATTGTTCTATTCTCGCTCGTTACCAAGTCAATTGCGTTCTAAACTGGATATTATCCTCATTTCAGACTGCAGTGTCATTCCCATTATATCCTACGTCAAAGAAACTTATTGGCGTCATATTTACCTCTGTGGAATTATTACGCATTTATAATTGTGGATTTTTGAGACCAAAACTCAACAGAACACGCAACGACTAGCCGATTTAAGTAACGTCCCTAATTTGTTATTGTATTTGTAACATTTAACTTGTAAATATTAATATTACTATTGATTGCTATTAACTTTGTTGATACTTTTGCGTTTATATATTGTTTGGTCCACCACACATCCCTTAGTTTATTTCATGTCACAAGTAGTACAGAGTCCTATATTTTATTCAAGTCTTCAGATTCCGGTGTTGTGGTACGACTCTCTGGAGTTTCAATATTGAGGGTTGCTGAACAAAAACTGTTCATACGGACTGCAATTATTTGCTAATTGGAGATAATAATTCTTCATACACGATCTGCTAGTTTTCAGTTAGTGAAACAGGACCGTCAATACTGGGTTTAAATATTTGAGACGGTTAAAAGTGCAGTTGTATTTACTAGTTTCCAAAGAAGTATCTGATACTTTATCTAAAGATTAGATGGTTGCGTGTTCTAATTGCAGTGAAGGGACGAGAATCCAGCTTATGAAACCTCAAGTACATGGTGATCCAGTCTTTTGTAAAAGACAAATAATTCCTTATGGTCTTCGAGGAGCAGCACATAAGACATTGGACAACTTTTCGATGAACGGATGATGGTAGTACATACGATTCCACTGCAAGATAGAAATGCTAAACATTCTCTAACAAAAAGGACTCCATCAAAGGTAGTAAAAGAAAGGTTTCTTCGTTCGAATATGAGGTGTTTAGAGTCCAAAGATGTTACACATCATCGTGAGAACGATCTTCGAACAAACATTGGTTTTGTTATGAAAACTCTTGTAAATTCTATGATCCAAATTCTAGATATCAATGATGTATGTACACATAACCGATATGTTGATCAAATACGATCCTAGGATCCAGATCAGTGCGTTCCAACATCAGTTATTATTTCTGATACTAATGAGTCTGACAGACACATGATGAATCTAAAGAGACGTACAACCGATTACAGACAATTAGATTCCAATTTAGGCTGTGATGGTTATGGCGTTTGTATGAAATAATGATTCCTTTGTACTTATTGCGTGCCTGAATACGCGTTGTAAATACAATGCGCATCTTGTTCTAATTGGTTTAAATTAGACTGTTTCGGGAATTCTTAGATAGCACAATAATTAAAATTCCTATAATTATAACATGGCACACCTGACTACTTTCGATATTGAAGACTGCACACTGAAAACAAGGTGGCATAGTGGTGCTCAAAATGGCAGCTGGAGCTTAATACAGCTAAATGTGGATGGACATGCTTCGATGAAACATCACTCAATTTAGATCTTACCATAAATGGTGAAGTGTTATCTAGGTTACATACAACAGTAGACTTAAGTATTCCTTCGACTTGTCGTTTACAAGACAGATGTTGAAACGGACTTCCAAGTCTCAGCGTCTTGTGGGCTACGTAACTCGAAACCTTCATAACAATGAGTCACGTGTTTCAGTGTGCCAAGTTTGTGTTCGACCATTCCTAGAATACTGCATGTTGATTCAGAGCACTGCGCGCATAAAGGATAAATTGAGGCTGGAATCAGTAGAGAGACGATTTACACTTCGTATTCTTGGGGCTCACTGTACCTTGACTTTTAATTCTAGATGTAATAAACTTGGCTTAGACCCTCTGGAATAACCTAGCACAATTTATCTGTACGATGAAATCAACGATTTACCTCCCATTCTTTTCATTTCAGTCCTCTGTTGGTAGTAAACCCAATTCCGAACACTGCTTTATGCAACTTATATCTGACAGCATAATAACATGCATCATGTATGTCAAACTAGTAGATGAAAGTAGAGGTTACGTTAACCTAGGAATCACTGTTGTGGCTAGTTAAATGTCACTGTATGTGCTTGTGTGTGAAGAGTACTTGTAATCACTGGATGATAGCAGGCAACTATGCTTTGGAAAGAGAGCTGCACTGGATTAATGCATTTATCTAATAATAGCAAGCTCCAAGTATACACTGACAACAAACCACTTTGATACCTCTACATTCGAATCCACATTGCTGAAAGCACATTGAACATTGGTTCACCACCTACACTTCCAAATATTTATCGTACCACTCATGGTAGCGCTGATAACTAGTTTTACTGAACCATGGTGCAAAGTGATAACAGGTTGAAACTGATCATATCTCGTCGATAATATTTGTGATGTCTACTGTGGTTTCGAGAGAGTAATATCAAGACTCATTCGTATTTGGCTTAGTGTTTAGCAAAGTTCGCATCGTGATTCCAATCTCTACTATGTTGCAAGAACGCGAAAGTGACGATCAATATCCACTTACGCATATCCTACACAATCTTGTTTAATTACAGGAACAGCGACAGATGTACTTAACTGTTCACGAGTGATCTTATTCACCACCGATTTCTTTTACACAGATGCTTGTTAACAGGGATATCTTTGTGAACAATTAGTGAGAAGTGAGTGTGACATGATGCAGCATTATTTATTTGAGATTATTAGTACTAGTTACATTGTCAATAAACATAACAAAACAACTGATCTGATGCTTCACTTCTCTTCCACTTCCTCCTTCTACTTCCTCGAACCCTCCATCTTATTCGGAATTTTGCATCTTCCGTTCGTTCCGTCAGTGTACGGTTGACCACTTCTCACCCTGAAATAGAAACAATAGAAACTGAGAAATGCTTCTGGATGCGAGATAGGGTTCTGTGCAAAAGCGAGAAAAGTGTCGAATATCCACATTTGAAATACGTAGTAAATTTAGGGAACCAACTGAATATAAACATGAAGTTAATCACACTGAAGCATACTGATAAAAACACATCATCGAAATGCTTTGAAACCACCGAAGTTCAATGTAAAACAAATTATAAAATCGGGATTATGCTTAAGTATGTGATGGAACACTATGTGCATTGACGGATGGAAATTATAAAGACTTACGCGGGTGAGTAGAAACAGGCAATCAACATGTTTGCTGGATATTCATAGCCCGGACATCTGGTATAGCCACATCCGACGTAATTCGTGTCTGATTGAACTACCTAGATGTATTTGAGAGAAACGAAGTGATGAGATCTCATTCAGTGATTGGTAATAAAGTTTGAGATTTTGTTCAATCACATAATTTATGTATTCACATACCTGCTTGTAACTGTCGCATTGATGCGGTGGCTCACATTGGTCTGAATTGTGATCATAGTGGTCCGATTCTTCCATCCAATAAGTAACAGCTCTACAATAAGTACAATCAAAGCAATCTTACACTCGGTAAACCTACTCTGCCAATTCGGAGTGTACAGCGGCGTTTCGACCCACGGAGTCAAATTTACCAACTTTTCCGGTCGGTTCCTTGTCATGAACATCACAGTTTTCGGACCACATTTGAGCGGCAGCCGCCAGTTCATCGTCCCACTCCTCATACAAGCATAAAAACCATAGAAAAATAATTATCGTGTATTCGTGAACAATGTCAGAAAACGCGCTCAGATTCAAGTCCGACGCGCAAGGATTTCACATCATCTCAGACTTACAAGAGGCTGTAATAATTCCTCCGCTGGCACTATGTCCGTTTCCCCACACTTGCTTCGGTATTCTCGATGTTCATTGTGTACTTGCAGCATGAGTTGCGCCTCCTGTGCGTCTAATCCGAATACAGCTTCCACGAAGCAAATGGCAAGTAGTAGTGTGAGCGCCATTCTCTGGTATCTGGTTTTAGTCGAAGACGCAGTCATATTTATACTTTTGGTTATTCGTGTACTCTCCTTTCTTCTCACTTCCGTTTTATGCTTTCATTCAGTATTTTTATATATCGTTCCTCGTTTCAAATGTCATTATTGTTTATTGCAAATCAATGCATTTGCGTACCGTATTTTAATGTCTTTTGTTAGTAAGTAACTCAGAACGAAGCACGTTTGCCACATCTAGTATGTTGATTTCGATTGATTGACATATTCATTTAAACTTCATGCAAAGTATTAAACCTCGAATTTTGTGTTCACAAATGCTTATAAAACTTTTCTTAGTAAATTTTAAAAACGGTTGGTAAGCATTTTGCCTTCTTCGTTTAAACTTAAATATTTTCTCAAAGGAACCAACGTAGTTATGTGAAGAATGGTGTCTGTCATTCACAATAAGTTAGTGCATTATTTTTACTCAAACCTGTCGCAGTGTTAATTGACTTGCGTTTCTGCTCGTTTTTATAGTTTTCCTCCGCTATAAATACGGAAGATCACCTAAAAATAGATCTTAGTCACGCGTTGTACACAATGATTTTGTTTCTGTTAATATTGTTACTTTCTATCTCATCTGGTCTTGGAGGCCAAGAGGAAATGGCAGAATCTGCAAGGACTTTGTTACATCACCATAATTACGTTAGACAAACGAGAAATGAATGTGATTATTATTGGAGTACACCATCTGAGACAAAACTTGAAGATCTTGTGAGCTCATCTGACCATGTTATAATATTATAACTTATTAAGAAGGGATCACGTGCACTCTGAAGTTCACCTCATTTAAATATTTCTTCATTTTAAGGAGTGTTGATGGGTAATGTTTAATTGAATGTCGTTAGACAATAATCGAAAATCAAGAAGTACTGGGTAGCTGTTTCGTCGTAGTATGATATTACTCAGTGTTGTCAACTCATGACTCCTACAGAGATCGGACTTAAGACCTACAGTTTCTATAACGATCCCTTGACATTTCCGCAGGTAATCTCCGGAGTTCTGGTTAAAAGCCATGACCAGTGGAGTTAAACCGCATTGAGCGCGAAGCAATTACCAACCTAAGATATTTGATTATGGTCATTTCATTGAAGTCACATGTTCATATCAATGGATACCAGTTCTGTGGTCTGGGAATGAAATGCATACCGTAAGACCCCAAAGTTCTGGGTTTGACATCCTATTGTGCCATGGATACACTCCATTCAGGAACACCATAATTTAGAGGAACATATACCGATATCATTCTAGTTTTCCGTAATTGTCAAACCACAACTAATCCCTTATATAAATTGTAAACATTCTTTTATTCATAGAATTATCTCAGTGAATATTTGTTTGTAGATATGGGATGATGGGTTACATGTAACTGCTCAACAGTATGCAGAACAGTGTGAAAACTCACCTAGCCGTTTAAGTGACAGAACTACGTGTAGATGGAAATCAGTTGGTCAGAATATTGCTCAAGTTCATTCAGTTTCATAGTAAGATTTATTCAGTAATACGTTACCACTTATTTTGCGCTTTTTCTTCTAATTTCCTCAAGTGCTATCAAAGTTTGGCGAGATGGAAGTCGATTTTATAGTTTTAAAAATGATAAATGCGGAGAGAATCACGATTGTTCTATGTATAAACAAGTTAGTTTATATTTGTAAAAAGAACTAGTTATTTTCAATTATAGATTGTAAACATTAACACAACACATATTGGATGTGGAGTTCACATGTGCAATAAAAACATAAATAAAGGAAAATATATAGTTGTTTGCAATTATGCTCCAGCGTAAGCATTGTATTTTACAATGTATTTAAATGTACTATATATGAATATAAAATCTGAATCGAGTCCTTATAATGGTCAAATGAATTTATTCTGTGCACTCATATTTCTCCTTCTCAAGTGTTGCCATGTTATTTAACACTGAAAGCTTTTTAGATCTAGATAAGTGTGTATACATGTCTATGTTTATCTATATGTTGGTTAATCACATATCTACTCGCCTGTATTTAACGTATTCTTCACTTTAATGTTCAACATAATTAACACTTGTATAGTTGTTTTCTAACCACCATAGTCAGAGAAGTCATCACACTTTTCAATTTGTTTTTGACCATTTATCGGCTTTTACATTAACATTCCTTGACCGTCGCAATGTAATACAAATTGGTTGAAGTTATAAGATAAGGACGAGTTCAATAGTTTAATGCTTATCATGTAGGCCGTAAGAATTTGCAGTTGTTTATTCCACTTCGTATGAAGTCGTGAATGTGAATTGATAAATTGTTACAAACCATAACAAAATAGCTTTTTAGTACATCCTAGCTTTTCGATAATTCTTGCATTCAGGCCTGTTTATTAGGCAGTATTTTCACCACAGCGTGCAAGGAGTGCGTTATTTTTAATATAACTTCAAATCTTCCTATTTTTCAATTGTAGTTAGGGAAATTAACTTTGAGTCTAGGCGTGCTCATTTCATAATTTCATAATAAAGTGTCCATTTATTCAAAATACCTGCCTATATTTTTGATACTTCAGTCTTACATTACAATGCGACAATCTGAAAACATAATTAAGATGACAATCATTCATCTTTGCAAATATTTAATCAACAAGCATTGAATAATTGATCAAAACAGTGACTAAGATTACACATTGAGTCAAAGGCTGAAGCTATGTTTATTGGTTAGAGATGTTACAGAGGAAATTACAGCGAATTCGAATGAGAATAACTTTCGAGTAAAGTTTTGACACCTCTTATTTTATTATATACATGTTTTCGAATATCACAGACTATCTCCTTATGCTGTGTTGCTACAGGTTCTGCTGATGTTGTTGTATTTGTAACCAGTCACTATCATCGACTGAGATCAACTTGAAATCTTTGAGCAGTAGGGAGCATTGGATAACTGTTTCGTCATCACTTTTTAATTACCTGAGGTGTCCTTCATTGATTCCACACGAAATCGATACTAAGACTTTAAGTACCTAGACCACAAAACCACGATTCGAATGATGTCAATAAGCAATAGGAACAATGTAAATTATTGTTTGTTTGAGCATACTTATTTCTACGTTTCCATCTTGTTTTAGTAGTCACGTTGATTTTTCGAATTGCTCAAACTTATACATAACCAAAACTATTTATTGTAGCTAACTGCATTCAAAATAATTGACTCAACTACAATTTATTAAAAGTTTTTTTCCATCTGCCGTAGTTCCAAATGATTTGTTATTGTTTGTGATACTTTTAGGGCTAGTAAAGGAAGACCATACGACGATGGAACAAACACCAGATGTAAACAATGAAACTACTCACAAGATTAATGAAAAATAACATGAACTAACTATTTCTCAGCTTGTTGTCATCAATTTTTAATTCATTGTTGAATAATAAATAAAAGTGATGCAGTTTGACAAACTGGTTTTTTCTTCTGAAATCTTAATGAACAACATTTGTACGAATGTTAGGCGAAAATCATATTTGAAATAATCTCAGAGATTGAAATTCATATAACTCCAACATTTTGTTCAGTCAGCCTTTCTGGACTTCTTCAAGGTAATCATCAAAGCAACTTGAAGTGATCTAGTACACCAAACAATAAACTGAGTGTCTGTTCGTTTTTGAACATTATATATTATATTTCTAATTTTTAGTTTCACATATTGTGATGAGTTTTATATTTCCGGACATCATTTTCTTGTTCATTGGTATATCTTATCTTTTTCATGAGAAAGCAGACACGTCAGCTATCTAAGATTAAGGCTCATTCGAATTTCACCTTTCAACTAATGCTACTCTGACCCGACAATATAGAATCCTGATTGTGCTACGCAGAGGCTAGCTTCCACGGGAATGTGCACAATTCCTCGCAGTGATGAAGGCATTATCACATGATCTCAACGGGTACGTCACAACCAGTATGTGCGCTAGTGATGCTTTGGAACCCTACAGCATTCTGAAGAAAGCCAAACTTAAACGTTGAGTCCGAACCGACCGACAAACGTTAGACCAACTCTTTCATAACATGGACCTGCAACATGGCTCAGCAACAGAAATGTTGCATTATATGGGAGAGGTCATTGGTCAACGGACCTTCGGCAAGAGCCTGTCCAAGCAGCTCTTCTTGTTTAAGCCTCTTCAAAACGCCCAGGTAGTCCTTGTCTCACTTCGAAATAACACTGTGACAAACTGGCTGCATCTGCCGATTGAATGCTAGAGATCATCAGAACCACAACTCTGAGGTTTATTCTGTCAGTAAAAGCCTCAAACACCACAACATGAAGATACGGACATCTGTCATGTTCTTGCTCGTTATCTTGATGTTCATCGCAAGCGTAGACTCTCTCAAACGCCTCAAGGAAGCTTGTCAGGATAAAGGTCTGTCTCAAGACCACATGAAACAGATAATTCTGAATGTTACTGGTACCAAAATAAGAGTGGTAAGTGGTGTGAACAGAGAAACAAGAAGCCTTGACAAAGACGAAGGCCATTTTTGTGGACGTTATTTAATTTTATTCAAAGCTTTGAAGACATTAATATTTACTTTTGACCCTAGTTTACTCTGCAGACATTGAGATGACGTTTGATGTATGATCCAATTCCGTACTCCTTTGTGTTCTAAAGCCATTGTAATTTAAACATGATCTTTTTTATTC